AGGGAAAGATGAATGCGGCCAGGTACAGGGATATCCTGGACGAAAACCTTCTCCAGAGTGCTCAGGACCTCAGACTGGGCCGAAGGTTTATCTTCCAACAAGACAATGACCCTAAGCACACAGCTAAAATAATGAAGGAGTGGCTTCACAACAACTCTGTGACTGTTCTTGAATGGCCCAGCCAGAGCCCTGACTTAAACCCAATTGAGCATCTCTGGCGAGACCTAAAAATGGCTGTCCACCAACGTTTACCATCCAACCTGACAGAACTGGAGAGGATCTGCAAGGAGGAATGGCAGAGGATCCCCAAATCCAGGTGTGAAAAACGTGTTGCATCTTTCCCAAAAAGACTCATGGCTGTATTAGATCAAAAGGGTGCTTCTACTAAATACTGAGCAAAGGGTCTGAATACTTAGGACCATGTGATATTTCAGTTTTTCTTTTTTAATAAATCTGCAAAAATGTCAACAATTCTGTGTTTTTCTGTCAATATGGGGTGCTGTGTGTACATTAATGAGGAAAAAAAATTAACTTAAATGATTTTAGCAAATGGCTGTAAATATAACAAAGAGTGAAAAATGTAAGGGGGTCTGAATACTTTCCGTACCCACTGTATATATATATAAGACATACCAATGTGTTCCAGCAACTAGCTTCCCATCTGAGAGGGTTTTTAGAGCCAGTGGGAACATAGTTTCATGACACAGAGCTTCTCTTAAACCAGAGACAGTTGACAGACTTGTGTTCTTAGCTTAAAAACTTGCAAAAAATACTTATCCCAGTTTAATATTTTGCCCCAGTTGCATAGAGTAAATTGTGAATTGCATGTATACTGGTCCACTGCTGCACACGTGCCACAATATCGATACAGGACCAGCTTAATATTTTGCCCCAGTTGCATAGTGTAAATTGTGAATTGCATGTATACTGGTCCACTGCTGCACACGTGCCACAATATCGATACAGGGCCAGCTGTATCGATGCTCGTATCGTCAAATCTGTGACGATACATCATCGTATCGATATTTTGAACACAGCACTAGTTTTTACCCTGCAAACACGCAGAGCTGTAAATGGGAACTGGTAGATCGATAAGAAGATAATGTATTATAAAAATCTAAACAGTAAAATAATAAACAATATCACTCATTAGAACATGCAGAAACTAAAAAATATTTTTTTTCTATTAAGATATTTATTTTGTTATTGTTTTGTTATTGAAAAAGTAAATAATTCAAAAACGTGAAGTATTTGTCATGTTCTGACTCTGTAAAGAGTAGTTTAAAGGGGTCATATGATGTTGCTAAAAAGAACATTATTTTGTGTATTTGGTTTAATTAAATGTGTTTATGCGGTTTAAGGTTAAAAAAAACACATTTTCCACTATACATTATTGTTCGACGAGACAAAAACATCAAAACCCATTATAAACGAGGCATTTGTTGCATCCAGTGGGGACATAATTACAGATTATAATGACTTATACTGTCTTTTTTACGCATTGCATTGCATCGCGCCGCGTAAAACATAAAACCATGTCTGCATTTGTGATCGGAGAAATGACAAACAACAAGCGCTACTCTACACTGCTCAAAACTCGCGTTTGAATCATCAGTGGCAAATCCTTTAAATATGAAAACGTACTTACGGTCTGTGAGTCAGAACAGCCGGCATTGTAGTCTACTCTCCCAGAATCAGGAAACAGTCCTCCATAAAATGCGCTGCACACATCTGAATATTTAGGTTGAACTGTTCTGGAACAGTGTTGTAAATACAACTTAACCACCGTCCTCTTTTGGAAGGCCAAACAAAGTAGTTTCGCTTTCACAACGAAACACACAGCATCACACACGGCAGGCTTGAGTAAGTGGTGGCCGGCGGGCTTGAGAATGGCGTGGCCGGCGGATTAGACGAAGGAGTGGCCGGCCGGCTTGAGGCAAACACATGTGACGACCCCGGGGCTTGACTCTGCTTCGTCCACGGTGAAAGCCGATCTGGCGATCCACAGCGTGAAGTTGATGTATTTCCTCAGCGACCAGCACGGATCAGCTCCTAGGCATGACGAAGCGGATATCGTCCTCTTTTGGAAGGCCAAACAAAGTAGTTTCGCTTTCAAAATGAAACACACAGCGCCTTCACGACATGGCGGCAGCAACAGTACTACAGCGAGAATAAAAGTTACACCTTCTTTCATTGCGTGAACATTTAGGCAGCGTTCTGCAAATCTTCCCACATCGTGACGTTGACGTGGGGGCATGTTAGAACGAGCCATTTTAGGTAGGCGTGGTTGACTCTTAACTTTTATAAAGAATATCTCTTTGGATTTGAGACTTTAGTCTTTGCAACTTTACAGATCTTCCTTATGCACCAAGAGCTTGTAACACTCCAAAGAGAAAGGAAAAATTTAAATCGCATCATATAACCCCTTTAAAACCACAATTAATTGTACGGTTTCTACAACTTTCCCTTGGGAGCAAAAATTTGCCTTGAAACCTGAAAGAAATTAAGATTTTAAATTGATCATGATATCGATATCGGCTGATATGAAAAATTGTATCATGATTTTTTTTTTTTGAGCACGGGCCCACACTATAAGGTGGCGCTGAATGCCATTGCCTCAGAATCTTTGGACTGAAGCAGAATGCAGCTGACAAAGACACAAAGAAGTGTACACAATGTCTTGTTCCCTCCTCTCAGGGAACCAAGGTTACGTTACGACATTCCCTCTCGAGTCGGTCTCTCGACACTGCGTCATCTGGGGATCTCATAAAATCCCGCCATGTTGATAGCGAAGGTCCAGATCGTCTGTAATCAAAGCTGTTGACCTCAACTAAAAGTACTTCACACAACGGAAGTCCTCATAAGCTCAGCAGCATAGCAGCTATAAGAGCAAGTTGCACAAAGCATTAGACTACTGCAAACTCATTGCAGAGTAAAGGACAGCGGTCTCGCCTTCATCCTGGATTAACCATACACTCACTGCCAGCATTCATGTCAGTGCTTGTTTCCAAACTGCATTAACAGCAGACATTCAGCACCGCAGACACATGTATAGGTGACGGCACTATCGCCTAGCAATGTTTACTGCTAGATTTGTGACATCCGCAGTGTGAGTACCGCACCGCCAGTGTGCTGGTGGCCAAATAATGCTTGCGGCAGTAGCACAGACGCTATTGCATAATGTTGCAACTGGTGGCAAACCTGATCGTGCTGTGCGGTTAATGGTGGCGGTTGTGCCAACCACTAGTGCTAATGTCCACTGCAGCGGTGATGCCGGTGCTGTCATGAACATAATGCACGCGGAGTTAACACCGTGCAGATGAACACGAAGGCAGCAGTAGCACTGGTGCTAATCCCCAGTCAGTATTTACATGACTTAGTCAAACACTGCCAACTCGTTGGGGCTGCAACAGCAGTTTAAGACAAATGCTTTCAGCTAGCTTGATTCCTGCACAGACAATGCATTAAGGCTATAAAAACACAAATAAGCTATAGCAACATGCATAGGTGCCTCATAGCCTAACTACCGTAGTTGTCCACATGACCTATTTGACACAACCCACAATCTCAGTTCAAGTTGTAGACATAGTCCTCTTGCAAAGGCAAACTCACAATGCGAGTGAGGAACATTCAAATCACAGAACTGACCAGAGTGCCCAGCATGAATTGATCATGTAGAAGGCATCTTGGAGGGGTGTGGTGTCCAAGTCGCAAAATCTAGCTACTGGGGTGCCTCAGGGCTCAGTTCTTAGACCACTTATCTTCTCTTGTCTACATGGCATCACAAGGTTCTGTCATTCAGAAGCTTTTCATATCACTGCTATGCTGATGACACTCAACTCTACCTCTCATTCCATCCTGATGATCTGACGATACCTGCTCGCATCTCAGCATGTCTAACAGACATTTCTTGCTGGATGAAAGACCATCACCTTCAACTCAACCTAGCCAAGCCAGAACTGCTTGTGGTTTCAACAAACCCATCACTTCATCACAATTTCACCATCCAGCTAGGTGCATCAAACATAACTCCTACAAAGACAGCCAGAAACTTTGCAGTTGTGATTGATGATCAGCTGACTTTCTCAGACCACATTGCTAAAACTGCCCGGTCCTGCAGATTTTCTTTATACAACATTAGGAAGATCAGACCCTTTCTTTCGGAACATGCTACACAACTCCTTGTTCAAGCTCTTGTTTTATCCAGACTGGACTATTGCAGTGCTCTCTTAGCAGGTCTTCCAGCCAATTCTAACAAACCTATACAACTAACCTAGAATGCGGCTGCAAGATTAGTCTTTAACGAGACAAAAGAATGCATGTCACACCTCTGTTCATCAATTTGCACTGGCTACCAATAGCTGCTTGCCTAAAATTGAAGGCATTGATGTTTGCCTACAAAACCACCACTTGCTCTGCACCCCTTTACCTAAATTCACTACATCAGAATTATGGAGATAGGACTAACTGCAGAACATGACAGTCTGAGGACCACAGCGCCAGACTAACAGTCTGAGGCCGGAAGTGGGCGGAGCAAGTGTTGCCTTACTAGGCATTCCGCTACTTCCGTGTTTTGGACCGTTTCAAAGTTTAAAACAACGTTATAATCAAGTATTATATTAAAACGATTGAATTAAAAAGATATATAAGATGCACTTTTAGTTATTTTTATATATATATATGTATGTAAAAAAAATAAAATAGACATAATACTATAGACAATTGTCAGTTTTTTTTATTTATTATAGTTTATCCATTTGTTTTTTGTGTCATAAATGATTAACAATATAAATTGAAAAAATCTTTAAAAAAAACAACAAAAAAAACAAAGCTTGAGCATTTGAACATTTGATTTAATTGAAAAAGCATTTTTTTATACTCAATTTCACAACTAACCACGTTTTTTCATAGAACAAAAATAAAATAAAAATATTTAAATAAAATGTGTTTTCCCTCTTAAATAACAAAAGCATTACACACTAGCTGTACCTGCCCCAAATAAATACAATTAATTAAAAATACAAAATCAAACTAAAGTAAATAAATAAATTGAAGTTATGCAGGCACACATTTAACAATAATTCTCAAAAATAACATTAATACTAAATTAAATCAAAATACCATAAACATGGAGTTAATCCTGAGGTGCCTTTTGTCCAGACACTCACAAAGAAAAACATCCATATCTTCCTTGAATTGGAAACGAAACATGAAAGGCTCTTTGGCCAGTTGTTGGTCATCATTGATTTCCGCCTGATTAAATTGAAG